TAAAATTGTGCTTCTGTGCATGGGGCGGGCAGCAGTGGTGGACTGGGAGAGGTTGCTAAGGGGGACTATGGGCAATTTGGGGGTGGCCATAGCCCCCCCCCAATCCCTCCCCTAGCACTGCCCCCGCTGGCAGGGCACAGAGTTGCTCTGGAGCCCGGCTGGGATCCTGCAACGGTGACAAGTGATCCAGAGCTGCGGCAGAGCTAGGATTATTAGGCCCTACTCTATGGGTACAGTATTTGGGCCTATTAAAGTAGAACCCAGATGTGGATCTTCAGGAAGGGTTGGAATCCACTTAGATTGCAGAGGGTTCCTGAACTGAGGACGAGCTGCTTTTACTTCAAAGGGCCTTGCTTCTCTGATCAGATGGAGCTCATCAGAGATCCCACACAGCTGGTTGGAGAAGCAGCACCCTTTGAAATAAAAGCCTCAACAACCAGCTGGAGCACCTCAAGTGATCCCAGGAAGCTTTTGCAGCAGCCCTGGATATCCCCAGCTACTTCGCAAAAACTTCACCTTCCCAGGGGGGCTGAGGACAATTAGGAACCTAACCATACTAGGTGTTACGGTTCTACTGTAGTATAGAGTACGGCAATATTTAAAGCTTAAAAAATAGTGTGACAGCAGGGAAAGGAAGAAAGTCACAGCCAGCCGGCAAGATGAGCCCTTTCTCAATACAAACCAGCTGACATAGTACAGCACACAGATCTATGTATCTGTGCAAGGTGAAATGTGACTGTAGGGCTCCTGAATGGCTCCCTTTTATCACAGGAGGGAAATCTCCTTTTAAGGAACAGAGTAAAAGCAGGGAAAACGCTCCCAATGAGACCAAGAAATGCAGCAGAGTGTCTAGGCAAGAAGAGCATTACACTGCGATCTCTTCAGATCCGACAAAAGTAGGTCAATCTTTCTGCTTTGCCGAGTCCTTTGGCAGATTGATGCAGCTCGCCGCCACCACCCGCAACTTCTCACGTGTGCTTTGCAGCAGATGCGACGTTCAAAAGTTAACGAATTCAATACAGCTAATTAAATCCACCTTGGCACCCATTCAAAAAAGCATCTTGCTTTTTTGTGTTCCCTCTCTCCCCGCTGCCACGTGATGTGCAAGAGGAGATGGGAGGGAGGTTGCAAGAGACTGGGAGGGGGAGGGGGAGGGCTGCTTTTTATCTCTTTTCTTTCCAGTTCCAATTCCCATCATCACAGAGATGCTTTTCTTTCTTGCGGGAATGTGACAAGTCCACGTGGCCTCCTCCATGTTTATATTCCACCCCTCTAACAAAACACCCTTTTCTGTTTCCTTGCAGGCTTCGTAAACAGAGTTAAACACGAGTCAATGGGCCTCTGGATCCCATGTTAACATTTGCCGTTCCGAATGAGTACTTGGCAAGGACGGGTTTGTAAACAGCTTCCCTCCTCCATCTCCTCCCCCTACCTGTAGCATCCCTTCATCTCGACTCTGCATTTAGATAGCCTACCCCAGACATGGCAGCCCTTCACTGGGGCTGGATACGATTTAGGGTGCTGGCATGATTCCCTCGAACAAAAGCACTAAAACCCATGCATAACTGTATGTACGTGAGGACCCTGTAACAAAGTGGCCTTATGCCCTGAAGAGGAAGCAGCTAGCCTGGCTGAGGGGCTGCAGCTGTGCAATGGCTAATGAGGGAGGGGATTGCTGGGAATCAAAAACCCCAGCAGGCAAAACCAGAGGAAGTGCGGAGGAGAAACACCAGAGACAGGAGACTTCTGGGCTATGAGGTGAGCGAGCCTGCAGTGGGAAGGCTGAAGCCACAGCAGACGGCTCCCAGTGTCCAGGACAATAAGGTTTCTTTGATTATGTGCCTTATTTTGTTAAAAGACTACATTACTGGGGTATGCTGAGAGATGCAACAGGGAGCAAAGGCCAGCAGGTTTAAAAGACTGGATATTGCTGAGGCTTGCTGAGAGACACTTGGGGTCAGGAGGCAGGATGGACAAAAGGCTGAGTGGGGTCATCTGATCCCAGCGGTCTTTCCTGCCCAAGTGCAGGGGGACTGGACCCGATGATCTGTAAGGTCCCTTCCAGCCCCTAAAAACTATGAAATGATGAAGAGGCTGTGGTGGCAACCTGCTACAGACCCCCACTGCTTTCATTGAGATCACCTGGGAACTTAGGGTGATCTGCAGTAGAAGGGTCTTGCAGCCCTCGCTGCGAAGATCTGGTTCTAAGGTCCAGCATAAGTGTAATTTGTTTTAGTTTCAAGCCACTGGTTCCTTGTCCTGCCTTCCCCTAAGGTTAAAGAGTTTCCTTCTTCCATCTGTACTTTTGATTTGAAGGTGAGATTGGAGGATCATAGAAAGGAATGCCGGGAGATCATCTAGCCCAGCCTGCTGAGCTGAGGGAGGATCAAGTCCTAGGCCATTCCTGACAGATGTGTCTCATGCTCTGGAAGCCCTCCAATGAAGCAGATCCCATACTCAGCACCTTATTCCAGGACCTCACTGTTTCCTTCTTCTATGAGTTGAGGGTCAACTCACGCTTCCTCTTTTCTACGCTATGAACCGATCCCTACCAAGAACTCCTGTTTGTGGCAGCAAGATTTCTGACTAAGCAAGGACAAATAGGTAGTCCTAGCAGAGCACACCCATCAAATCCTCCACTACAACTATCAGTTCTGCTCACCTTTTCATGTTAGCTTTTCTAAACCCATCTGGGACTGGGGAACCAGAACTGCACAGCATATTCCAGGTTATTCCACTACATCAAGCTTATACTTTAAGCAATCTTTCCTCCCTAGTTTCACAGATAAGGCCTCCTACAGATGCATCCCAGAGCAGTGGTTCTAGACATGCTGGCACTGCACATTGCAAACCCACATGTCATTCGTTATCGGCTACCACCTCTAAGTCATCCTTGGACTTTCTGCTTGTACTTGGCCGCCTCTGACACAAATCCTCAGAAATCATTCAAGATGCACTAAAAATAAATCACATATCAATTCTTCACTGCCCAGAGCTGATGTGTGGCTGTGAAACAGCTGCCTTGTTTCCACATTAGCAGTGGTACATTTCAAGTAGGGCTTGAAATTATTCTTCTCTATCCCAGCATTGCAGCAGAAAGGAAGATGCTACAGTTCAGACTGAGAAGGGTGCTTCATGCTAAAACCTTTATCATGCCATTCTCCAAAACCTGAAAATATTTTGTGCTGTGCTTTGGATTCCTTCAGGATAAAAGGCAGAGTTAGGCTGTAAAGCATCTTTCTTGCCCATGGTAGAGGATGCTACAAGACGTTTTGGTTGCTTACAGACATTAAAACAAAGAAATAAAAAAACCGCACGACGCTACTTTAAACTCAGCACACTCCTGTGCTGAGCCCAGCACATGCCCAGAAGAGGCATCATCTTAGTTGGAACCAGCTCGTCCAATATCTTTATAGATTGAGTGCTTTAGTGGGGTCTTTTTGGCACTTTTATTTCATAGGTGGGTGAATCAGCATTAGATAAAAGCACCAGAAAGCCCCACTGAAGTGCCTGATCTATACAGATGCTATGGAGCTAGGCTGAACTAACACACTGCTGCTTCTTCCAGTAAAGCAGGTTTTTTTATTTTGGTTTTTTTAATGTCTGTAAGCATCATTTAATGAAGACAGCAATTTCTCTGCAATCAAAAATGCAAATGGTATTGCACCAAGATACATTATGCTGTGTTACATGGAGCTGGGATTCCTGTCCCATCCCATACCCCCCACCCTTATTTTATTCTGTTCGAGTCATGAAGACCCTCAGGCTGCTACCAGATAAATGTATGGGACTGTAGCATGCAGAAGAAAGAATCAGAACTGCAAATAAAATGCTTGCTTATGGCCAGAGGCCCTTCCTTGTGTAAATCAGGTACAGCCCTACTGATATCACTGGATCTAAGCTAGCTCACAGCACCGGATCCAGTCTCTCAAGAGTGAAACAGAACTATTTCTAATATCACTACTGATTACTTGCGCCAGAGCCAAGCCCCAAGGTGCAAGGTGCTGCACAAACAGAGTAAGAGACTGCTGAGAGGTAGCCTTGGGCAAGGCTCCATAATGTTTTACTAGCAGAAGTGGGAGTAGAATTGAATCCTGTGTTTGAACTCCCTCAATAATGCCACACAGAGCACGAAGATGCCTGATCAGAGCTAGCCTCATGGTAAGAGTAGGATTCAGTAGGGTTGAAGTTAATTCTGGGCCTTACCGGTGACATCCTTTGTGACCTGGGGTCCTGTATCCCTTTGGGGCAAAAGGGGTGAGGATGGATAATATTACCCACTTGAACACAAAAGAGTGATAGGAGGCTAAACTGCTGAACACTCGTGAAGGGCTCAGACACTACACCCCACAGAGAAGCCTATACATGATTCAACTGGACCAGAACCAATGCTTAAGACTCATTTAATACTGAAAGCATTAGTGCTGATCTAGTGACACATCCCTAGCTGTGTCAGTCATTTCAGGCCATAACAGGATACCAGTCTTAATCACTGTCTCATTCTTTATATTCTACTTTGGGTTCTGCTCTTCTCGCAGCGTGTGTCAGATAACTAACCGCTGTGACAATGGTTTCTAGTTCTAGAGCCTCTTGAAACAGCAGTCTCTTAAAAACATGCTGGTGTAGGGGAAACCAGCCAGGGAGAAGGACCAGTATTTTGATTTACCAGCATTAAGAATAACTGCTTTATCACACAACAAAGCTGAGGGGCCTAAACCCCCTGCGGCACAGGACAGTTGTGTCGATCTCTGATGGCTTGCCTGCCTTGAATTATCGTGGGTAACTCAAACTGAGGGGTGACTTTGGTCCCGCTCATAGATTGAATATGACATGTCCTGGACCTGGGGCTCCTGCAAGCTTCACTCTGTGCCAGTACACTAACTATGCCATATTGGCTTGACTTCAGTGAAGCCATTAGGCACACAACACCCCCAACACAAGGTTTTAATGCCCTTCCCTCCATCCCCTTCAACATGGGACACAATATCCAGCTCACTTACATGACCCACCCTTTGTCCATGGCTGATCTATGATCTGATGCTGTATTCGGGGCACAGCCCAGTGTGATGCAGTGCTACTCACTCTGCCATGGCCAATGCAAGATTCCCTTCATGCACGGGGAAACTGCTGCTTTCCAAATGACACAGGTGGCAGAGCCAGCTCGTGCACCAGCCATGGCCCCACCTGCAGCAGAAGGTCGTGTCAGCGGAAAGGCAGGGCTGAGAGGATGGAGGAAGCAGAAGTCGGGTTCTGTAAGGTCACAAAGTCAAGCGTTAATGCATCAGCAGGTCACCTCGGTTTAAGCAGCGCTACTGCAACCCACCCGTCAGGGCCGGAACTGCACTCCACTAAATGAAACCAGGCTGGACAGAAGTAACTGGCTAACTCTTGCCACCTGACTCTCTAGTAGCATTCACTTGCATCAGGACTTTTTCTCAACACGTCCAAAGCCACCCAGCTACGCACCCAGCCAACACCTCTGTAGCATCCTGCCAAAATGAGTTATGGCTGGGATTGCAGTGCTCAGACATGCTTCCTTCTTGCTGGCTGACAGTAACTAGGAAGTAGCAGCCTCCCTCAAACCAAATTAACTTGGGGGGGTACCAGGAAAAGAGACATGGGAATTTGTTAATATGACCACCAAGTCCCAGAATTTCACTAGGTTCCCACAATGCACTGCTAGAAAAACTTGCCACTTGGCTCTGGGAACTATAGATTTCATAGACATTAGGGCTGGAAGGGACCTCGGAAGATCATCAAGTCCAGCCCCCCGCCCAAAGGGCAGGTAGTCAGCTGGGGTCATAGGAACCCAGCAAGATAAGCATCCAATTTGCTCTTGAAGGCGTTCAATGTAGGTGCTTGAACCACCTC